GCCACTAGCAACGTGTAGCTGAATTAAAATTATTATAATTAAATATAGTTACAAATTCAACTTCTTAGTTCACATTGACCCTACATGGCTAGTGGTAATCATATTTGATAGTGCAGAAAGAATATTGACATCATCATAGTGAATTCTTTTGGATAGCCCTGGTTAGACAATGAATGCCTTTTTACATACATCTAACAGAGTTTCTATAAAACATATCCAGTGTTCCCATTGACTCCCTTCCTGTGCATATAGATATATTCCCACAGTAGGGTGTCAGCTAAGAGACAAATCTCTAGTAAATATTTTTAATATTTAATTTTTAGTTGTAAACAATACCTTTAATTGTTTATGTATTTTTTATGTGGTGCTGAGGAATAAACCGAGGGCCTCGCATGTCCGAAATGAGTGCTCTACTGCTGAGCCACAACCCCAGCCCTCTAGTAAAATTGTTTGAAAAATGGTATTCCCTAGATTGCCTTTTATTGCAACTAACAAAAACCCAACACACAGAGTGCATTATACCAGTATTCCTTAATGTGTGATATATAGACTAACCCTATAGGCATCCCTTGGGAACTTAGAAAAGTGAACCTCAGGCCCCATCATAAATCTGCTAACTTAGAATTTGTATTTAGACATACTGCATGTGGTAAAACCTTACTGATGTCTACTATGTTATAGAACAATAAATTCACAGGTGGGGTGACTCTAGGGACCATTAAGTCTCTAACTCCATGTTGTCCAAGTCCCAGGTTATTTTAGTCTATTTTGTTAGCTTTCTCTGTCCTTAGATGATCCTAGTGAGTGGAAGTTGGTTGCAGCAGTTCATATTCTGCCATACTTCTGCTTTCAGGTATTGTCAGGATGATCTCCTGCCCTGCACTGTTTTATCCCAATTCCACTATCTCACTGTCATATATGTATAATCCATTTTCTTTTTGCTTTTATTCCCCTTCTACATGATCACTTGAAAAAATAAAAGGAAATCAAGAAAAAAGAAAACTTATTTTTTGTAGGTGAAAGGTAGATTTTCTGTGTGAATTTGATGATTTTCACAAATTTATTTGCATCTTTAGAATGTTGGAAATGTAGAACTTGTCATTTCAATCATATTTTAAGTTGATCGGTACTGAAATTATCTTTTCTATGGACCAAAAATCTAAAATATTAGTGATTTGTATGGCCCCAACTAATACAGTATTATTTCCATGACAAAGTAAAATAAAAGTTAAGAGCACAGACTTGGATCACAAATAGTTTCCAATTTTTATACTGGTTTCAAATGCAACTCTGTCACCTTTGGCAAGTTTCTAAGACTTTTGAACTTCCAGTGTCCTTAGTAATAAATTAACAATAGTATAATATATCTCATTTGGTGGTAAAGAGGAACAAATATGGTAATTCAATATTTGCCAAACACTTGCCAATTATGTTACACTTTCCTAATTTTTTTATTATCAGCACCTTTTTTATCATTATATATTTAATAATTTTCATTAAATTGACTGATTTACTTTCTAAATTATAAAATTGAGAATTTATAAAATTTATGTACACTATATGTACCTAAAGCATATATATATATATATATATATATATATATATATACACACACACACACACAATATAAAACATTAAAATAATTTCCCTAATTTGTTTTATTGTGCCATCAAAACTATTTATTTTACTTTATTTTTTTTAGTTGTAGGTAGACACAATACTTTTGTTTTATTTATTTTTTTTATGTGGGGCCGAGGATCAAATCCAGTGTCTCATGCATGTGAGGCAAGCATTCAACCACTAAGTTATAGCCCTAGCCCCCAAAACTATTTTAAAAACTACAACTAAAATGCATACCATTGTTTAGGAATCACTGAACTACTACATATAAAATATTTAATGGCAAGGTCATCACACCAAAGTGTTGAGTAAACATTAGCCAATTTATTTTAATATTGCATTAATGATATTTTAACCTAATGGTTAGTTTTCCCCTCCCTGAAGTTACCCCTTCTTTCACACCTGGCAAACAGGGTCCTGGTGTTTTGAGGGCTCCTAATCTGACCTTTTCATAGCACCCTCTGATGTTTACTACTTCTTCTGGCCTGCCTTGCCATGGGAAACTCACTACTCCCTTCTTGCTGCTCATCCAGAGACCTGTGGCCGTAATTCACATGCATTTATTGATGCTCTTTCTTTAGAGGCCTCAGGGAGGAAGAAAGCACAGCAACTTTTACTACCTGATAATTTGTTTCATGTAGCCCCAACATAGAAAGCAATAAAGACTGTTCAAACATTACTGGTTAATTAGGGTATCTAAGAAAACAACAATGAAAAAGCAAAAACTGTTTTGAATGTTATCTTAAACATAATTGTTCCTGTAATCCCAAGAAAAATTGTAGAAAGTTAAATTCTTTTCAGAGGTTCCCCGGGTGGATATTATTGTTTTTCTAAATTTGTCATACCCACCAGTGAATTTTCCTTTCAGAGGATGATCTTGTCATATTGTAATTGTTGATATATCTATTCCTTTAAGATTCTCCAGGCTATTCAAAGACAAGTATAGGTTTTTTTGTTTGTTTCTTTTGGATACCCGAGAGATTGACTCAGGGGCACTCAACTGTCGAGCCACATCCCCAGCCCTTTATTTGTGTGTTTTATTTAGCGACAGGATCTCACTGAGTTGCTTAGTGCCCCACTTTTGCTGAGGTTGGCTTTAAACTTGAGAACCTCCTGCCTCAGCCTCCAAAGCAGCTGGGATTATAGGCGTATGCCACTGTACCCTATGAGGATAGGTATTTTCTTTGCCCATGCCTAACAAATAGGAGTTTCATGCATACATACAGAACTCAGTAAATACTTGTTGAATGAAATATCTATGTATAAGCAAAAATGTAAATGACATTATTAAATGAATTCTGTTGGTAACTCTACTAAAACATATATGTTAGACTTGAAACTTTTATTCAAGTGTAAGTAATACTGTGGATTCGTTTTTCAGTCTTGAAATGTGGAAGTTTTTAGCTTAACATAATGACAAACTGAGCAGGAAAAAACAACAAAAATATGTTATGATACTGCATCCAGTATTCATGAAATTTTATTCTCATAGATTCTTATTATCTGGTCCATTCTCAAATGATAGACTAAAACAACAAAGTAAAAGATTTATTTACATACCTTGTGATGCTGGTATGTTATTCATTGTCTAAGGTTTAAACAACAACTTTCAGTTTTCCTTTCACTTAAATGGATGTTTCATCTCTGTTTCCATAAAAAGAAAATGTCTACATTTCTGTCTGATATCCATGTGCCTCAGGATATTTGTGACTCTAAAATGTAAATGGTTCAATCAAAATAATTTTATAGACTCCTTTATGAATATATTTTGCATTTTTAAATGTGCAAATTAATGAAAATTTCTAGTAAATATTCCATAAATAAGAGTAATAAATTTCTAATTAAAATTCTACCTGCTTATAGGATCAGTATTTAATATATTGTACTTTCAAAAATGCTTTAAATATGACTTTTTTAAAAAATGGAAAATAATATTTACCTTAAAATCAATGTTAGAATTTCTCATTTGAGTCTTAAGATTTTGTTCTATCAGTGGATGAACTTATGCCATATTTGTATTTTCATCCTTACTATAAAATTGTGTAATTGACAGGCAAGGTATTATTTCATGTTCCTGATGCTGGATATGTAATTGAGAAGGTTTAAGAATGTGGTCTAGGGCTTATCACTGGGCTATGAACCTAGGCCTTTGGACTTTAAATTCTTTGCACAGTCCATTATTTCCTGTGTCATTGAAAAAAATTTCTTTGTCTATTTTTGCATAACAAATGACTTTAAATTTTAGTGTCTTAAAACAATAATTTATAATTTCACTATGATCTTATAAATCAAGAAAATAGGCAGGGTTCAGGCAGGTTATTTCTCTAAGATAGCATTTCATATTCTAGGGTCATCCTGTACATGGTCACTAATCATTTAGTACTTTAGCCTTGTCTCTATTATAGCATGGAATCTGGGCTCTAAAAGAAAATAAAAATCCTGTCATTTCTCTTACAGCCTAAATTTAGAACTGGTTCATTGTCAATTCTATTCCATTGTATTGGCCAAAATAAGTCAGGGATGAGGAAAGGTGGATCACTGGGTATAAAGTTATGGTTAGATAGAGTAAGAAATTCTGAAGTGCTGTAGCACAGCAGGGTGACTAGAAATAATAATCTTAAAAAAATAACATTTCAAAAAGATAGAAGAAAGGATTTGGGGAGCTGGGGTTGTAGCTCAAGGTAGAGCCTTTGCCTAGCATGTCTGAAGCCCTGGGTTCTATCCTCAGCACCACATAAAAAGAAATAAATTAAATAAAGATATTGGGTCCATCTACAACTAAAAAAATATTTTAAGAAAGGATTTTGAAAGTGTTTGCCATAATCAAATGATAAAGTTAGGAGAACAAAATGTTTTACCTGATTTAATGGTTATTCAATGTATGCATGTACTGAAATATCACACAGTTCCTCATATGTAAAATTTTAATATTTTTATGTATGAGTTTTAAAAGAAATTAATTTAACTTTAAAAATAATGATTTGTGGCCATCTTTAACCACCACACATACTAAATAATGGGATTTTTTTTCTAATGGGAAATATTTTTTCAAATAGATCATAAATAGGATTTTAATAAAAAGATATACTACTGATTCAATTACCAAATATTGTTCACACTTTAGTTAGCATATGCATGCTTTGTTAACTATGGGAATCTTTCTAGAAATTGGGATGTATGATCTCTAATAAGCCTGAGAAATGATAGTTTCAGAGGTGATTGATAATGAGCTTTACTTATGCCATTCTTAATGTCCAAAAGATACTGAAAATTTTGAGTATGCCATAAATTATAAATATCAACTGTCTTACCTTGTTACATGTTTGCTAAAAATAATTTTCTTTACTAGAGGTAATAATAGACTTTTTTCAAATTTTCAGTTTACATAAAGTTCTAATGGATCTCCAGAATCAGAAACTGAAAGAGTTAAATGACTGGCTGACAAAAACAGAAGAGAGAACAAGGAAAATGGAGAAAGAGCCCCTTGGACCCGACCTTGAAGACCTAAAACGCCAAGTACAACAACATAAGGTTAGCATATTGTATGCTATGTGTTTTCTACTATAAAACAAGCTCGGTATTTATATGTGTATTACATACACATATAAACACACAAGTCATGATTTATAGACAAGAAAGAATTAAACCTTCAAATCAACAATAGTTAAAAATAAATTTTGCCAAGTATGTTTCGTAATCTTTGTTGCTATGGTTTAAATAGGACCCTGTAAAATTCAGTTGCCAATATGATAGTAGTAAACTGTGGGGCCTTTAAGAATTATCAGACTATGAAGGTTCTTCCCAGGTGAATGGGATTATGACCCTTATAAAAAAGCTTCATGAGCATTTGGCAATTGTTTGCCCTTCCACGAGAGGATTCAGCAAGAAGATTCAACAGATGCTAGCACCTTGATTTTTGGACTTCCCAGCCTCTAGAACTGTAAGAAAATTAATTTCTATTCTTTGTAAGTTACCCAATCTTAAGTATATTCCTTATAGAAACACAAAATAGAGCAAGATACTACTTTGTCAAATACAGCATAACTAGGATTTCAGTATTTAAAAAACATCAAATTTATTTCTGGGACAGAATAATGCAGGGTATATGACCTACTAAAATTTTGGTTTCAGGGGACAGTTTCTGTAGGAACTACCTTCAATGCACATTTGAATATTTAAAATATTTTTAACATATTTTACCTTCAATTTGTAGTTATTTAGAACTTGCCAAATCCGAAGACAAACTGAGGATCTGTAACATTGCTTTCCTGTAAAATATAACATTTTAATTTTAATATTTCTGTCATAGCTCTCTTCAATTTATAATTTTAAGTTGTCTGAAGGCATTTGTTGTTTCTGTGATGAAGATTTCTACAAAACTATTGTGAACCAGAATCTGAGTGTGCTTCATTTTAAGAAACTATAAAATGTAAAATGTAGCTCTGAGTTTTATGGTTGGAATAGGGCATTGCCCAGTTTGTGAGGACACACTTGCAAATAAAATCTTGTTGACTGCCCCAGGATTAAGGATACTACACTTAGCAAATAAAAATACAAGAAGTCTAGGTACATTTGAATTTTGGATAAACAATCAACATGTTTTAAAAGTTTATTTCCCCAGTTTTTCATTGCTTATTGGAAATTCACCTTTTTTTTTTTTTTTTTTTTTTTTTTTTTTTTTTTACTGGGTATCCTTTATTTTATGTGGCAATTCTCAGGATCCAAGTTTCTTAGATATAAGGGAATGTCTGCACCCTTAACTCATGCCTCCTAAAGCCATATTTTCTCCAACTTAATTTCCTCATTTTATAATGATTTGTCAGATCTAGCTTCACAGTTCTTCCATGAAGACAAAAGATACATGGTTTTTAATTATTTAATAAGCTACACATTTCGTTAATAAATGGAGCTGGTTCTTGTTATTACTGCCCATAAAGCAGTTTACTGGTTACAGCAGTTTAGGATGAAGCATTTAAGAAGAGCTGGAGATATGGTAATCAGGGGGGAAAAGCATCAAATCTATTATGATTATCACATGGATGTTGTTAGTGATGTTAATTGCCTTATATCTTAATTGAACAGCTGAGGAAGGGAGGAAGGAAGATCACTCTGGTGCTAGTTCTCTAATTGTACCATTTTCCTTGTGTGGATCATGCACTCTTCTTGTGGACCATTGTCTGTCCTCCTCTTTTTGGCCTGTGTTGGAAGTTTTATGTACAGAATTTGGGGATATGCCAATGGACTCATTATGTCTGAGGGTGTTACTGAGATGTAAAAGCATCTTGGCCAATTTAAGTGTGGACAGGAAGTAGTTGTAGCACTACCAGTGCTGCCTTAACCTATGATTGATGGCAGTTGATAGATAAATCCTATGGAATCCATATACCTTGGTGGGATAATTCTAAGGTGTGTTCTTCATAGTCTCTTACATATTCATCAGCAAGTCTGAATTCCAGTTGTCCACAGAGTAACTTCCTTCAAATTATTACACTTTCATAATGCATTATGAAATCAACTCCCAAATACACTGTTTCAATATTTTTCCTTCATGATCTGTTTTAGAGGAATCTAACTTAAGATGGCCTTCTTGCCCTAGAAATCAGGTTTCTAGCACTAACTAAATTTGATTTTTCTGAAACCACTAAGTCACTCGGGCTCTAAATATCTTCACTTAGGAAATAAGTGTGTTGAGATAGTTGGTTTCTGTTTTTCCTGCCATTTTGGGAATATGAAGCATTTCATGAAAATGCAAGATGAGCACTGTAACATTGATCTTCAGAAGGCAGGGTGCAGATGCTGAATGCTGGGAATATAAAGGGAGAGCCATGAAGAAGGGCTCCAAAAGATAAGTGTGAATAACTTAAAGCAACTGCAAGGAAAGGTCTTAGCTTGCCACTCTGAAAAGACTCTTTATTAAGGTTAGACAGGCCATCCAGTATCTTAATATTCTGACAATTACCTGGAATGTTTTGTACTTTTCTCCAGAAGATATAAAGTGAATGGAATAGAAAATATTTGACTAATATTGCCATAAAATTTGAATAGATTGTCCATTACTTCAAAATATGCTGCTTCTGACGAGTATGAAATTGCATTGAAGAAAATAATTTGAAACAAAAAATCCAAAGGATTATATGCAAGCTGATTATGAAACATTTTACATCCAGTACTTATATTCATATAAAGTATATAACGAGAAGAGAAGCAATTGATTTGCTGGCTCAATGAGGCTAACTCCTACCTGTAACCATTCAAACACACTTAAGGATGCATTAGTTTTTATAAAAGCTAGGTGTGGTGGTGCAGGCATTTGATGGGAGGCATTGGGAAACTGAAGCAGGAGAAATACATGTTTCAGTTAGCCTGGGCAACTTAGACCCTATCTCAAAACAAAAATATCTAGGGATGTAGCTCAGAGTACAATGTCCTTGGGTTAAGTCTCCAGTATCACAAAAAAAGAAAAAAAAAAAGACACATAGTCCATAGAAATTCTGACAATTGGTAGCAATATTCTTTTGTTACTTGGAACTAATTTTGGTGAGAAGAAAATTATTTAACTCAATCCAAATTTAAAATTAAGTTGATACCCTGATTTTATCATCACACATTAAATGCATATATCAAATTATCTTACTGATGTGTATAAATATGTACAATTGTGTCAAAGATAAATTGAATTTATATATATTATGAAATATGTACATGAAAAGTACACATTTTTAAAACTCTGTTAGTTTTCATGTTTCATAAAATGAAAGAAGATAAACCTTCTTGGGCAAATGAGTTCAAACTAAAGCCTTACTTAAATAGTTGATTCACTTTGCTGTTTTTTGTTGTTGTTGTTGTTATTGTTGTTTGTTTGTTCCCCTCCCACCGCTTAAAACTTGTAAATCAAGGGAAATGGGAAATTTCTCTTTCTGGCAACAAAATACATCAGTAACATAAAGCTACTTCAAAAGGTATCTGCCCTCTGATACATCAGTTCCAACCTAATATAAGATTTCAGTTATTTGATTTTTGTGTAGATAGACTTAAAATCATTAAGTCATCCCCCATTTTCTTACAATGATTACAGATGGTAAAATTAAAGACACAGGTTTTGTTTGTTGAAATTGATTTAAATTCTTCTCATACCAGAGGGCACATGCTCCCTTACTCAAAGATAAAAATATTTGCAAATCTAAGTACACTGTGAATATTACAGATATGCTCCTGTATGTTCTGTGACAGGATCCTTTGCTATCTTCATTTCAACAGCATTTTATTATGAGGCATGTTAGAAATCCAACCACTGTGAAATGCCATGAGGATAAGTCAGTTTTACTGAATCTGCCAATTAGGGAAGATAAGGTAATTGATCCTATATTGGCAGTTTTTATTAACTCTGGATAAGAGTGAGAATTTGGGGGCTGCAAACTTTGGAAGAAACTATACAGTTTTTATAACTATTGTTTTAGAGAGAATTTTAGAGGTTTTATTTAGATTTAAGGTACCCAAGAGTGATTCTCTCTGGGGAGTGAACATATTGAACCTCATGTTCCCTGTGGGAAAAAAAGCTAAATAATCCTGGCAGGTATAATCCTGCCAAAGGATCTGACATTTTATTTTATTCCGTTGCATTCCATTCTGTATCACTGAACAAACATTCATTAAAATACATAGGTGCTTTGAAGAGTACTAAGATCATCCATATATAAAATCTTCCCCAAGAAACTAATATTCTAATACATCAGGTAAAGACTTAAAACACATGTGGAATATGGCAAATGGCATGAGAGTTAAAAATGGCAATTTGGTTGAGCAGAGGACATGAGGTGGGAAAATGCAGGATAGAGCGTTTGCTTGGATCACATGTTGAGTTTAAATTCACACCATATGCTTAACACTGGAGAATTAAAGCACAATTATGGAGGGTATTGTATACATTTGTAATTGTCCTATGTGTGGCAGGGTCCTATTGTTAAACTGAAGAGTAACAATTTAGGACAATTTATTTTTTAGGAAGATATGACTTGTAAAATACCAGAGCATGGAGAAGCCGCAATCAGGAGATAGGATAGGACAATATTGCAGAAGGCACATGAGGCTGAATAAAGGTAGTTCAATAAAAAAACTGTGAACAGGTGTTAAGCATTTTGGAGCTCAGCAGCTGAGCCAACAGAGTTGGACTTATAGAATGAGTAAAGAGCTTGAAATAATAGATTGAGTCTGGGCAACTGGGAGCCCAGAGTTGAAATTAGGAAAGTAGGCAATGTAAGAGAGAAATGAAGTACTTTGGAGAAGGATGAGTGATTCATTTCAGCCCAAGAATGCTATAGAATCAAGTAGTGCTTTTAGTGCCTAGCAAGCTTTTTCCTATCTTCAGTAAGATTCAAATTACATATCTTAGTTATTGCTATAAAGTTCCATTTTGTTTCCTGTCTTTTGCCCCTATAAGTGCTTAATGAAAGTCTGATGGTTATGGAAGTAAAGATAAACAATATACTTAGGAGAAAATGCCATACTACAACCAAAGAGCCAGAGTTCATCTG